TTTATATATATATATATATATATATATATATATATATATATATATATATATATATATATATATATATATATATATATATATATATATATATATTTTTTTTTTTTTTCAACTTAAATTAAAAGGAAAAATAATTTTGAATAAATCTTACGTTAGGAACTAATCAGTCATTTTTTCTTACTTGATATGAAGTTCTTAGTGTCTGTGAAGTAACAAATTTTGCCTAAATCTGTAACATTGCCATGTTCCAGGTATCTAAGATAACAGACTCACGGGCAGAAAATCTGGTCAACATGTTGGCAAGATGTCTGCCACATATTGTTCCCAATGTTTTGCTGGCAAAACGAGAGGTGAGGATTTAAGAGGATTTATGGTTTTGATTTTGAAGGGGGCTTTGGATTCCAAAACAGGATAAAAACAAAACATTTAATTCGTTGAATAGATTTTGATTTAATTTTACTTTTGAGTGGTATGAGTCAAGAATATTAAATGCTTCAGTTGTAAAATTTAAAACAGTTTTAGATTTGAGTTATTTGTTACTACTACCACAGGGCTACTACTACTACTACTTTTATTACTACTACCAATAATAAAATAATAATAATTTGAGAAGGTATTCATCTTCACATAGAAAAAATTGACAACAAATATTGTTTGTTTCCAGGAACTCATTCCACTAATCCTGTGTACAGCCACTCTCCATGAGGATGGAAAAGAGAGAGATAAACTGTTAAATATTTTGTTTAATCTTATCAAGCGTCCAGATGCAGACCAAAGGTAATTATGCTCATAAATTCAGACATGCTTTGTTCCTGATTTAAATTGGAAACTTGACTCTTTTAGTAGATTGCCCGACATATTAAGCTGCCCCCAGTTCCCCAACTGTAAGATTACCAAGCCATTTCTCCCTGATTTTTCTTACAAAACAAAATCATGTTGGTATTTCATGTGCGTAAAATATTTCTAATATTTCTAGTATGTTCTAATATTAGCTAGCATTTAATCTAATCACTGTTTTTCTGTACTGTACACATCATCCTATTTTGTATATAGCAGCCTATTTTAGAAAAATATATTATGATTATTTCAATTTCTCAGTTGTTGGAAATGTATTGTAAAGTTACAAGAATTAGCATTCTGTGAGAAGATTTAAACTCAGTCCTGTCCTATAGATGTCACTGTTGTTTCCAGACAGATGATCCTGACTGGCTGCGTAGTGTTTGCTCAACATGTGGGCCCCACCCGAGTAGAGACTGAGTTACTGCCACAGTGCTGGGAACAAGTACAGAGTTTTTATTCCCACTGTCCAGTTTTAAGACCCACTGTGCATTTTAACCCATCGTATATTTTAAGACCACTGTATGTTTTCAAGCCCACTGTACAGTTTAATAGCTTCTGAATAACAAGTTCATTGCTTAATAGTAGAACATAGGGCTTTGGGATTCTTCCTTTGGACCCATTACATGATTCTACCTCCAGATAGATTTTTAAATATTCAAATTAAAATATGAAGATGTGTAGCATCAAAGATGAAAGATATGAATGATATTTAAGGTTTTTTAAAATGGCATAATGTGCAAGATGAAGAGTCTGCTCAGCAGTAAATCTGTCCTATCCTTGTGTCTGTGCATATATTTTCAAATTTTGTTTTCAGCTCAATCATAAATATCCTGAGAGACGTCTCTTGGTTGCAGAGGCATGTGGTGCTCTAGCCCCCTATCTTCCCGTAAGTTAAATTTATTCATGTAATATGTATTATATGTGGGCATGCATTTGTGCACGTGAATACTTGGAATTTTGAAGAAATTAAAATTTATCAGCATTAAATAATTACATATTATTATATATACATAATACTTTTTTCATAGACTTAAGATCATAGACTTAAGATTTTTCATAGACTTAAGAAAATGATCTATCAATAAAACTTACTTAAAAACAAAAATACTTATAATAAATGTAGAACTATGATTTAAAAAAAAACAACCTCAGTATTTCTGATATTTACCAGAATGAAATCCGCAGTTCACTAGTGCTGTCCATGCTGCAGCAGATGTTGTCTGATGACAAGGCGGAGGAGGTGCGTGAGGCGGCGGTCAGAAGTTTGGGCCTCCTCATGGGTTTTATTGATGACCCAGATAAGTACGCTCAGGTAGGGGATGGCATAACCCACCATTTTGGTGCCAGGTATTTGAGAAAAGAGTATTTCAGGCTTCTTTAAACATCATGTTCCTGCATGTGCTTAAAATATTGTTTGATGTATGAATGTGAAGTTTATTATATTCATGGCTATCACTTAGGCAAGAACTTTTGTATTTTATTGAGAATAATGATACCATACTGATGCATATGAATAGATATGATACATATGAATATATATGAAAGTGATTTTTTTTTATTCATCCATTTATATATACTAAGATAATGAGAAATTAATTCTAGTATTGGATTTTATGTTGAAACAGAGATAACAAAGTTTAAACATTATCACAAGGCCCTCTTCAGGTGAACTGATTTGAGCTGCCACTAGTGTCACGTGAGACATCCAATGTAGAACAAGAATTAATATTTCATTATCTATGTATCAATAGACCTTGTTCTTTTGTTGGCAGAGATATTTTGTGTAGCAGGGCAATTCAGAAGGAGTGCCTGTCAACATTTTAAGTTCCATGTGAATTAAGGATTTTATCTGTTTTATTTCCAGAGTTTTGAGCTGCTGTTTGCTGCCCTCCAAGACAGTGTGGAGGCTGTGTCCCTGGCAGCCCACCAGGTGTTACTGCCAGCATTTGCCATATGGTCCACTGAACTGGGGTGCCTGGAGAAACAACTCATGCACTCTATTGTGTCGCGACTGGAAAAACTTACCAAGGTAAATGAGAATTAGAAAGTTGTTCAAAAAGGGTGAAATTAAGCAATTTTGTGGAGACCCTTATCATCATCTCTATTCCTCAGTTTATGTTTTCTTTTTNATAGCTTCTGAATAACAAGTTCATTGCTTAATAGTAGAACATAGGGCTTTGGGATTCTTCCTTTGGACCCATTACATGATTCTACCTCCAGATAGATTTTTAAATATTCAGATTAAAATATGAAGATGTGTAGCATCAAAGATGAAAGATATGAATGATATTTAAGGTTTTTTAAAATGGCATAATGTGCAAGATGAAGAGTCTGCTCAGCAGTAAATCTGTCCTATCCTTGTGTCTGTGCATATATTTTCAAATTTTGTTTTCAGCTCAATCATAAATATCCTGAGAGACGTCTCTTGGTTGCAGAGGCATGTGGTGCTCTAGCCCCCTATCTTCCCGTAAGTTAAATTTATTCATGTAATATGTATTATATGTGGGCATGCATTTGTGCACGTGAATACTTGGAATTTTGAAGAAATTAAAATTTATCAGCATTAAATAATTACATATTATTATATATACATAATACTTTTTTCATAGACTTAAGATCATAGACTTAAGATTTTTCATAGACTTAAGAAAATGATCTATCAATAAAACTTACTTAAAAACAAAAATACTTATAATAAATGTAGAACTATGATTTAAAAAAAAACAACCTCAGTATTTCTGATATTTACCAGAATGAAATCCGCAGTTCACTAGTGCTGTCCATGCTGCAGCAGATGTTGTCTGATGACAAGGCGGAGGAGGTGCGTGAGGCGGCGGTCAGAAGTTTGGGCCTCCTCATGGGTTTTATTGATGACCCAGATAAGTACGCTCAGGTAGGGGATGGCATAACCCACCATTTTGGTGCCAGGTATTTGAGAAAAGAGTATTTCAGGCTTCTTTAAACATCATGTTCCTGCATGTGGTTAAAATATTGTTTGATGTATACATGTGAAGTTTATTATATTCATGGCTATCACTTAGGCAAGAATTTTTGTATTTTATTGAGAATAATGATACCATACTGATGCATATGAATAGATATGATACATATGAATAGATATGAAAGTGATTTTTTTTTTATTCATCCATTTATATATACTAAGATAATGAGAAATTAATTCTAGTATTGGATTTTATGTTGAAACAGAGATAACAAAGTTTAAACATTATCACAAGGCCCTCTTCAGGTGAACTGATTTGAGCTGCCACTAGTGTCACGTGAGACATCCAATGTAGAACAAGAATTAATATTTCATTATCTATGTATCAATAGACCTTGTTCTTTTGTTGGCAGAGATATTTTGTGTAGCAGGGCAATTTAGAAGGTGTGCCTGTCAACATTTTAAGTTCCATGTGAATGAAGGATTTTATCTGTTTTATTTCCAGAGTTTTGAGCTGCTGTTTGCTGCCCTCCAAGACAGCGTGGAGGCTGTGTCCCTGGCAGCCCACCAGGTGTTACTGCCAGCATTTGCCATATGGTCCACTGAACTGGGGTGCCTGGAGAAACAACTCATGCACTCTATTGTGTCGCGACTGGAAAAACTTACCAAGGTAAATGAGAATTAGAAAGTTGTTCAAAAAGGGTGAAATTAAGCAATTTTGTGGAGACCCTTATCATCATCTCTATTCCTCAGTTTATGTTTTCTTTTTACTGTAACCATGAACTGTTTTAAGCATTACTATTTGCTATAATTTATATGCATTTATATCTGAAGGCCTATGGCCCTTGTGATATCAATTATTTTGTTATGTATAGTAATTTCTTTTCAATTGGGGAAAATTGTGAATTTTACAGATGCTGTATTTTTTAAGTTATAATTTTTGAAAATTACTCTCTGTCATTTGCATTTGGCAAACGTTATTGCTTTGGCAAGTGACAATGCATATTGCTGTCATATAGACTATTGAAAGACGCTAGCTGTTTGAACTTTTTCCTATACTGAGACAGTTTGGTCCCCTCCCCCCTCCCCTTGCTTTGTGTGGACTTCCCATAAACCAGTGACTAAATTTCAGTTTCACATTTTGTACTCCCTGTGCCCCAAATCCTGGGGAAACTCATCATTTACAAATGCTCCTGAAGAGACCCATTAAGATGAAGAAAAGTTTAGGATAATTAGATAAAAAATTTATTCAGAACTCAGACTTTTTATGGATTTAAAATGAAAATAAAACTGCTACTGTAACAGGTATAATTTTCTATGTAAATATAATCTCAGAGAATTAATATTTTGTCTCTGTACATTTGAAATTAATATGGACAGACACCTGTGTCTCATTGATTTTCCATGAGTTTGAAGCCCTGACCTAATGTACACTTTCTTGTTTTAAAAATTGGGTCATGGTTTCAATATTTGGTATAATTATAAATGTAAACAGTATTGTGATATATTAATATAGTTTCTCTTCCACTCTGCTACACAACTGTACAGTAGACTAACTATACCTTATGTTCTGGTTCATACAACCTATCCTCATTATCAGTGGTAACCAGTGTTTGAAATTAATGCTGGACCATCTGCCAGGGTCGACAACTTTCAGAATGGGCCGAGAACTTTTCCCACCCGTCAGACATTCAGTCCAGCTACTTTTCAAGATAGCTGGACCTTTGGTCCAGAAGCTAATTTTCCTAAGTGGCAAACACTGGTGGTAACATAAGGTTTTTATAAACATCAGCATTGCGATATATTTACATCAGTGTTCAATGTAGTAATTGTAAGTACTGGAATGTCTTAATTTGTCCCTTGTTCTCTGCCACCACCAGCTGGCCCAAAGGGCTGATGGCTAATGCTGTGGGACTCTCCAACCCATCATTCTCAGTGGCAATGTATCTGATGAACTGTCCCTGTGGATTCAGTGCCACTACCCTGTGGTTGAGAAAGTCAGCAATGAAGAGATGACCGTAGCTGTCTGTACACACTCCCTGTGGTGACCTCAGCTGACCATCACCACAGCCTCGTGTGCCATACTGGTACAGTTGATCACCAGTAGGTGACAGCACATGTACACAGTCACTGCCCCAGTCTGATATCACAATGTTATTATTCACACTGTTCACTGTGATGTACATTGGGTATCTACATGAACTGAGTGGAATGGTGCTCAGGAGCTGTCTACTGTCTACATCGAATGTGAAAATGGATTGCTTTCCTCTGTCACAAACAATCACATGACCTTGTCTGTTCAGTGTAATGCACCATGGCTCCTCCAGTTGACCCTGACCCATGGTTGTCACCTTCTTACCTCTGGTGGAGTACACTTTCACACATTTATCACCCAGTGATGTTATATACAGGTGACCAGTCTGTGACACAGCCACATCAAATGGTCTGTTTAGTTTAATGTCATACTTGAACTCTCCAGCATTTGTAAACATTTTTGTTCTGTCATCTCCATAATCCACAACAAACACTTGTTCCTCATCTATGGCTAACCCAGATATGTACATTGCTCTGTCATCTTTCAGCATAGGACTAAAAGAACGCACACACTCTGCCTTTTCTAAGAAAACGGGATGTGGTGCTGTTTTTGGATATGTTCCCTGTCCATCTAATAGAGGCTGTGACTGTACTGTCACCTGTCCTAACATGGCTTCCAGTCCAGCATCAGATATCTCACCGGGGCTGTAGGATTTCTGTGCTGGTGTGTTCAGAGATGGGACAGGTGTTTTCTCCATCACAGCAAGTCTTTTTAACAGAGATTTTGCATGAACCATGACATCAGAGTCAGTGCCATTAGTGATCAATTTTTGGGCAAAGTCACAGCACTGTGCATGGAGGCATGGTGGAATTCAAGGATGTCCTTGTTTGCCTCCTTCTGCTTCTTTCTGATATCGTAGGCAGAATTCACTTCTGATATCAGTGTCTCTTCCCTCTGATCAATTGATTTGCGCATACTCTGAGCTTGTCTTTTGATGTCTTTGATAGTTTCTGTTCTGATATGAGAGTCCTCTGTTTCATTGGCTTTTTCCATAGCAATTGCCTCTTCAAACATGTTTGTCATTTTCATAGTTTTTACGAGAGCGTCCAGGATTTTTTCTCTATTGCTTTTTGCAATTTTTGTAACTGGCATAATACCATGTCTGTAGTGATCAGTTGATGCACATTCACTGCATACAACAGTATCATCATCTTCACAGTAGTATTTTAATTCACTATTAGGATGTTTCTCACAACTGATGGTCATCTGTGCAATGGCCTGTGCCACTTCTGCTACATTGACCAGTTCCTCTTCTAATGTCTGTGTATCTCGCTGCTGGGTTATGATGTCCTTGGCTTTGCTAAAGACAAAATTCTTTTTCAGTTGAGCAAGTCCACCAGCTGGGAACTGGATCTCTTCTCTACAAATAGGACAAAGAAATGTCCTATTTGGAGTCCGCGTTCGCCTAGCATGGTCACATATACAACCATGGCAAAATGTATGGAAGCAAGGCAGCACACGGGGATCCTCAAATTCTCCTAGACAGATGCTACATGTCAAGAGATTATCTGTAAAAGCTGCTACTAGTGCTTCTGCCATGTCTGACTGTCTCTTTGCTAATTTACAAAGGGTGATTGCTTGTTTTGTTGCCTTTGGAGTTGAATCACCTAGTCTGAAAATTGTCAAAAATACTCAATTTCTCTCCACTTCAAATGCTGCAGCTATGGTTAGCAGAGATCACAATTATGTTGCCACCTACTGTATGTACTCTTTATAAGGCTTACTGTCATATTTACCTCAACTTTTTTGCAATAACCCCAGAAAAATGCGTCCTGTTTTTTCCTTTACCCTTTAGAACTGCTCAAAATGGGGTGTCTGTTCATAACCTGACGCTGAACTAAACATAACATCTTTGAGGACAAAAGGAACACCCATTGTGTGTTGGCTGGTGATGTAGTCTTATTGTGTTTACTCTTAAGCTCAGATTATTGAAATAGAGCTATGAATGCAGGTATTTGTCTCCTTTATTGATAAGGCAGAAAAAACATGGCATCTGATTATTTCTTGAAGCTGTCCTCACAGTAGCAGCTAGCACACAATAAAAAAATAGTCTGAAGACACAATTGTGTTATCTTTGCTTTGAGCTAGGTTGCACAAATAGAACTTTGCTGGTATTTCTATTTTGCTGTCTGGCAAAGTACATAAGGGAAAACACTCAAAGTGTTGCACAAATAGAACTTTGTTTGCTTATATTTCTGTTTTGCTGTCTGGCAAAGTACATGAGGGAAAACACTCAATGTTGCACAAATAGAACTTTGTTTGCTTATATTTCTGTTTTGCTGTCTGGCAAAGTACATGAGGGAAAACACTCAATTGAAGATCTAATCTGGAAGCGAGACGTTCCTGTCATTTCCTTTGTCCCCGATGACAATAATAGTGCTTATAGACATACAATTTGTGTCAATTTAGCAGACTTGCCCTCGCTGACTGATTCGTCACGACCGTAACTGGGGGAGGGGGGGGGTATGTCTGTTCTGGATGAAACCAAATGTCGACAGTGGGTAGGATATGTAGTAAACATCTTCATAAATACCATACATAGCGTATGCTAGCAATAAAAATTCTGGGAATAATAAGCAATTTGTTTTCAAGTTTGATTGAAATATATATGCAGGGGAAACGTTCTTTAAGTCAATGCTACGAGATCCTACATTTACTACAGGCGACTGAAAGATCAGTGAGATCGACCGCCTAGACTTCTTGGCGCCAAATACCACGCGCTGTCAAAACGTGACAAGCGCGTATAGCTATTCACCGACATGGATAACTGTTTTGTCAACAATAAAAATGACGTCTTCCTAATTAGAACAGTAACTTATATGGCGGTGAAAAGCGGAGCTTCACAGAGAGTTCCACTGGGTATTTACGTTACTTGTGAGTCACTTTTTATTTCCCCAGATGCAATTCTCACGTCAAATTATAAATGCATCTGTTTTGTGTAAATTGTGGCAATTAAATGTTTATTTTACGTTCGGGTTGTATCAGTGGGGTTTTCAATATGCACCGTGGCTTGTGCACAGCGAGTGTAGGCCCTATATATCGTAAGAAAATCGGAAGAGTGTCATATGATATGTCTATCGGCACAGGTAGGCTCCGTAGATTGCCTTTTCTCAATATGTTTTAATATGACATGATTTTTAAATTAAATACTGAAAGGTAATTTAAAGTTTCACTAAATTGGTATTCTTTGATAGGGGCGATTGAATTTTCTTCGGAAATGCATACGTCAACGTCGAGCAAGCCTTGCGAGTTGAAAACAACTGATCTCAGACTGGTAAAAAAAATCTCAATTTGGTTGATTTCAGTTGACATATTAAAATTAAGTTCACTAAAGTGACCGGGCATTGTTCATAACACCTGTCTCCGGGGGAAAAAGCGTCCCACTTGTGAAGCGCGTCATGATAGTGATCGTCGGTGAGGGAAATAAATAGATAGAAATTATGAACATTCGTCTTTTTGAATCTCAAGTTATGTTAGCACATATTGTATACAGCAAAATAAAATTTAGAAAGGAGGATAAAACGAGCTTGAAACACGTGTAAGGTGAAAATTGCGGCTTATCTTGCGTAACACTTCCGGTAAAATGCAATACTTCCGGTAAGATGGACGTTTTGGCAGATGCCCCTAACAATCCGACGATATCAAAGATTTCCATTGCTATATTTTAATCAATTCGACCAAACTGACATTTCCATGAAATTAATTAATTAATCTTGGTTGAATTGTTTGGCATATTACCGTATTTCTATTTTGGTAGTACCCTTTTGCGTCAGTTTTGCTTCACACTTGCCTCACCTGTTTGTGGTGACGTACTGACGGCGTACATCAGTTTTGCTTCCTGTTCTCCTCTTCTTTCTTCTTCCTCCTCCCTTTTTTCTACTATGTAATTTTCTTTCTCTTGCCTTTTGGAGGCATTAGAAACAAAATTGAGCAAGAATTTGAAAATTTTGAAAATTGCTGTACACGTTACATAGTCGATGTTCATGTAAAGACACAAGCGTTCGTCATGAGCACGCCTTTTATACACCAGGCGTGGGGGTGACGCACGTGCGACGCATTCCCGGTGTGCTCTCGACTTTGTTCGTTAGTTGTGAGGGCGTGCGCCTTACTCAACACGCAAAGGGCACTTGCTCCTTCATTTCTTGCGACATGCGTCATGCACAACGCGCGTCTCTCTTGCTAACTCTGTGCGAGGGGAGCAAGCTACGCTTGCGGCCTCGCTGTTCGCAGCCTATTTGTAGAAACTTTTGGACATGTCCAACATGCTCTGTCTGCGAACTCGAAATTGCGTAAGAAGGCCTTTAGTGGGAAATGAGATTCTGCGCAAATTTTGGACGCAAACAGCCCGTAAGAGCCTGTACGGCTGGTTGTGACTGAGGCTTATGCAGAGATGTTAAATTAGGTCATACGCCATTTGACAGGTAATTTTTGAATGGCCTTCCATACGCAATTTATGGAGATCCGGCTTACCTCGGTATCTGTTGAGTCCCTTCAGAGGAGCAAATTTAAGTACCGAAGAAGAAGAATTCAACAGAAGAATGTCCTCTGTGCCGGAATGCGTCGAGTGGGAGTTCGGAAACTTATTGTGAAACTTTGCTTTTCTGGACTTTCGAAAGTATTAAAAAGTTCTGTTGTCTCCTGTAGCCAAGCAGTACTTGGTAGGTGGTCTTCTGATCAACTGCCATACCCGTGTGTATGGCAATCAGATGAGTCGGAACTTTTAACTAGATCCTCCCACCTTGGAGGACTATTTAGCATGAACTGTACACGTGTACATTGTGCATATGGAAAATTAAAGAGTAAAATGTAAAATTCATACCGCAAGCAAACATTTATTTAAATGAAATCTTGAATAAAAAACTAATGTTTAACAAAGATTCAGCCCATGTGTATCTTGTAGGCAGCAAGAGCCTAGTATGTCAATTCAGCTTTTCTTCTTAACCAAAGACGTAACCATCTCCATCATTTGTTTGTCTTTCTCAAATTGAGCTTCTCGCTCTTTCATTTCTAATTCAAAACGTTCTTTCTTGAAGGCCAACTTGTCTTTCAGGTAACTGACGTAATCTGCTGGTGAATCAGTACGGCGCTTCTTAGTTGGCTGCATGTTTTCCCAATTTTTAGCTGAAAAAAATAAGCGGGTCACCAATCAATGCAGCGTCAGTTTTTGTTACTGATATGATAAATATTAATCGATATTTGCTATTAGAGACAATTTCATGTAAAGAAAGATGTGCTATCCTTACTTTTATTTATTATTAATTTATTCAAATACACAAAACAGGACGCCATGTGACTTTCTAAACAAAGCTTCATAAAATTTGCATTTAAAGTCAAGAAGACGCCTTGTCAACTAAAGGAGAAAATAGAGCTACTAGTAGTATCTTACTAAATGGCACTTACCTTACGAATATCCTGCTTGTTATGCGTCAAGTGCAGACAGCTAGTCTACAGACCACTTATAAAGGCATGTGTACTCGTAACAACTGCTCATAAAATGATGACCTAACAGTCTTATAATACAATCAGTCACGCGTGCGAAAGGCCACTTCTGACTGCCTTGTGGTCAGTGGAAAATGCCTTTTTTACGGGTATAACCTATATTTCAATAGTAACAAAAACATAGACACAAATAACAGAGACAACATGTTTGACATATATTGCAAAAATAAAATGTCCAATATGATTTTAGCAGAGAAACGATCAATTTTGAAAGGCTTGATTTCATAAAATTATGCTGATTTGTAAAACCGTTTTTCATTGACGGGTAGCAATCTAGCTGCGGATAATGTTCTCTCTAATAGTATGTGTACACATCACTAAACAGCAATATATTTTTGCCTTAAACGTAGTCATTCGCCTAAACGTACAGGTGCGAAAGGTCTCTAATAGATATTGCTGTCATATAGATCATTGAAAGACGCCAGCTGTTGAAACTTTAAAAGTACTGAGATAGTTTGGTCTGCCTTAACATCAGAAACATAAAAAAAACAAACATTCACTGTTTGAGACGATCACTGCTCACCAGTGCTTTGGTGATTGTGTTGTCCCAAATGTTGTCCCATATTACATCACACTGAAGAAGATCACAGATGTGATCGAAAGCTCTGTCAGGTAGCTCTATATTTTAGTGAAGAAATTGAAAAGTTCAATACTTGAATCATATCCTACGACTACACAGATGAATTTCCATCAGCATATATTTTTATGTTCAGACACAGATGTGTCTGTACCTACAGCCGTCACCTGGGTCTGTTGTCGCCTTGGCCGTGCACTTTCAGCGATAACACGATAAGTGAGAAAATGTTTAACCGTTTGTCTTCAAACTTACGGAACTGATTAAAACAGATCAAGTTCAAAAATCGGCATGATTTGGCCATTTTTTCAAAAGTTATGCTATTTTTAGCTTTTTTCAGCATATATGTAACACTGATAACACATTTCAAGGAAAATCAATAGGCCTGTTGTCTTGAAACTCACAGGAGTGATCAACCTTACCAAAATACAGGTCAAGTTCCAAAGTCAACTTGATTGCACAATTTTTACAATTATTATTATTTATTTATTTATTTATTTATTTATTTATTATTATTATTATTATTATTATTATTATTATTATTATTATTATTATTATTATTATTATTATTATTATTATTATTTATTTATTTATTTTATTTATTTATTTATTTTTTTTTGCTGTTTTCAGCAATATGTTATCCTCCATTATGCAGATAAGATGAAAACCATGTCATATTTTGCTTTAAAACTTGTAGGACTGATTCATAAGACTAATATGCCTGCAGTTGCCTGCAGCGCATAATTAAAGATTGGTGGTGATTGTGAAATATTGCATCAAAATTGAAGAAAACCCTACTTTGGGCACTGCTGCAATGGTGACCATTCAAAAAAAACCATGTCATTTACTCTTCTCAAACTTACAGAAAAGAAACATAGGACTAAAATGCAACTTAAATTGGTAAACCAGTCTGATTGGTTAATTTTTCAGGTATTTATACAGTTTTTCGTGCAAATTTAATTTTTCACATATTGGCATTTTCAAGGTGGGACTTTGAACCTTAATGGGCATGAAGACCTTTGCTAGTCACATTTTCTGAATATCCATGATGTTTATTTTTAATTTATTAAAAAAATGATGGTCATTATGCTGTTAATCATTATATAGTATTGCATTCAATAGAAAGAAGAAAACCATATTTGAAAACTGCTGCCATGATGACCATGAAGGGAAAACCATGTTACTTCTGATTCTCAAACATACAGTAAAGAAACATAGGGCTAAATGCAGCCTGAGCTGGTAAAAGCTGTTTAATTGGCTTCTTTTCCTGAAGGTTATACATTTTTATGAAATTTCCATTTTCACATATTGGCATTTTCAGTGTGGCACTCAGAACTCCCACGGGCATGAAGCTGAATAGTAATCAAATTTTCTAAATGTCCATGTTATTTATAGTAGATTTTAAAAATTAGTGGTAATTATACCGTTAATCATTATGTAATATTGCAACAAATTTCACAAATTGACATTCAGCTCAAATTGGGAAACCAGCTCTGTAGGATTATCATTTTTATTGAATTTATACAAGTTTTTGTGAAATTTTCATTTTCTTCATTTTGGCATTTTCAGAGTGTGAACTTGAACACTCATGGTCCTGAAGCTGTATGCTTTTTACACATCTTACTTATATTCAATTTGGTATTTCCTGTTATGCATAATGAAATTTTGATGTTGACTTTGCAGTTAAGCTTAATGAATTTTTGCATCAGAATTGACAGTAGCCTATTTTCTGCTTTTTGTCTGTGCATTTGGCAGCTTTGCTGCCTTATTTTATTAAACTCCTGACAGTTACCTCATTTCTTTTCCTGCAGACAGCTTTTTGTTTATTTAGAATTATCTAACTTGTCTTGAATTTTCTTAGGAGCCAGTAGTGTCACCTAGTGGTGCCACAGTGGATGAGGGGAAGTGTCTTCTGCTCATCAAGACTATGGAAGAACTCCTGCCATTTTTGTTTGCATCTGTGCTTGAGTCAGGGCCGTACACGGAACAGCTGTCCGAACAAGATGCTACAGCAGAGGAATTGGTAGTGGAGTGTAAGTATTATGGTGTTGCAAAGAGAGGTAATGAAATTGAAAATATTTTATTGAATATTTAATTTCACCAATTCTAATTAATGCTGTAGAATTTTGAATATAAAGTTGCTTTTTGGCTTCATTTAGAATACAGAATATATTTAATATACAGCAGATCTTTAAAAGAAGCTTTTCAGTTCTAGCTCTCAGCTGCGTTAAAAATTTATATAACAGGAAGTTGAATTCACCATGGCTTCATTTTACCAAAATGTTTATTTTGATAACTTATTTCACAGTATAAGATGGTCCATTGTGGAATTTCATCAGCCTTTTAAGTCCACTTACTACAACAATATTTAAAAGGTTATCTTCTACTAACCTTTATGAGATTGAGACCCTTTTACTGAAACATTTTATAATGAAAAGAAAAACCAGTTGTTAGGTTGCAAAGAGTTATGATGATGTGATGCTTCAACAAAACAATAATGGTAACTTTTGACCATTATTTATCAGAATATGTTTTTCATCTTTGAAATTCATTTTTTAAAAATTTTTTCATGATTTAACTATCTCAGTCACAAGATTTCCTAAGCCTCACACTCGGTTGACAGACTTGGTTATAATAGTGGGTAATAGTAGCAGGCTGGCTTCTCTGCTTTCCCTCTATGAAGACTACATCTCCGCCGAGTGGTTCGAACCTTGGGAGGCATTTGCATGGGTGGCAGACCACTTGTGAGTTTCACCCATTACATGGCTTTGTTTGATATTTGTTGGACAGAGTTTGTAAAAACTCCTAGTTTTGGTGGGTGGTGAAGTCATAACTTTTAAATGTTTTGTGAATTTTCACTTGTTTCTGGCATGTTTAACCTGCCCCATGTGCACTATGAAGTTGGTCACTTTTTTGTCACTAAGAATTTAAAAATCCAGTATTTGGGAAATAACCTTTAATCATTTTTTTTTTCAGAATTCCAAGGCTAGTGGCAGTCATGGGCAATATTGATGTATCTCTCTCCAAACTGGTGCATTCCTTTTCTAAGTTTATTCTAAATTTTTGTCAAATGTTTGGGAAGACATTTATCTCTATCAAAGTAAGTAGTATTTTAAAGTTTTGATTTTTTAATTCTTCGTGAAATGAAATATTCTGCAGAAAAAAAAACAATCTTTTGTATCTAGTACAGTTCAAAAAGAAACACAATCATTTTAGAATAATGTTGTAATGGTAAAATGAGTACTAAAATTTAGATAACTAATGGCAACATACCTCACAACATTTTACTGAGTGCTTGGCATTTGATTATACCATTGATAACATTTTCTAGCTCAATGGATATAAATTTGGGTATATTTTCCTGAAACAACTGTCCATATTTCTCCACTTGTAGGTCAAACCCAGGTTAAAATCGCTGTTAGACATCCATGAGGAACATTTAGACAGTCTAGTCTCCACTGGGCACACAGTTTTAACGAAGAGCACAGTGCCTGTCTACACTGCAGGGGTACTGTCAGCATTTAATAGAGTAAGTCCACAGTGTAAGGGCTCATTCCCAATGAAACGATCGTTCTACGTAGATCAGTCCAACTCTGCGGGGATTCTTGCTGAATGCAATCAGATTAAAAGATTAACAAGCCTCCTGGTGTTGATTAGAATACAGAAAAACTGGTGATTTTATGAATATGTTGTAAACAAGAGGAGTGTTAAACTGATTGCATTCAGTGAAAGTCCGTATGGAGTTGGGTCTATTTACGTAAATCGATAGTTTCGTTGGGAATGAACCCTAAGACAGGTTATTTTGTAAAAAATAGGTTGGTTAATTCTGTTTGATGTTCTTTTTTTAATATAATTGTAATGAGTTTTATTCATAGGAGTGGTCATTGGAAGATTTTGCTTTCTATTTCCTGTGAATTCTGGGGTAGATCTAAAGACTGAATTGTTTAAAACAACACATCTTGAAAGCGTTTGCATGAATTGCTCTATTTTTGATGAATTTGAATACAAACATGAAGCTCACAATTTTAAGTGCTAGGGAAATATTATTTCATTTTAGTGTGTCACATGTAGCATATCATAGTCTTAGAGTCAGTTGTTAACTGTATTTCCCACCTGAAGCTAATTTAGCTATGAAATGTGATAGATATTGCTTACCTGATTGTGATTATTTAGGAAGAAGACAAGAAAGAGTTGACAACATTCCTCCAAGATCTCTTATGTACACTGTCTCTGTGCCATGCTCCCTTAGAGAGTCTCTATTGTACTTTTACAGAACTATGGTAAGTTCTCTGAAATAGGAGCTGTCAAAGGCAGCTATAATGGTTAACTTATGGTATGGAACTTATAGTATAACTTATCAATTTTTGCCATTTTGAGTGCAAACAGTTGCCTTTAGAACAGCTGTGACTAAAACAATATTTCTCAGTCACTAGTTTACACAGATGACTGCTCATTTTGACAATTGCCTAACTTAAGGCTTAACACAAGGATTGCATAACTTTGGTTTGCAGTCAGGCCTCTTCTTTACTGAACTTAGAAACAGTTCTCTTAAAGTGTTATGAATGCAGCTATGTTCTCTTCAAAATTATTTTTTATAAAACAAATGATGGTGTCAAAAGTGTAATATTGCCCATTAATTTTTTGTTTATCAGAGTTATGGCAGGACTGTTGATATATGTGGCTGTGTTTTGTGTATGTATATTTACCTGGAAGTTTAAAATATTTTAGGCAGAATCCTGAGAAGTATTTGCTTGTATTTATGAGATAGACAAATGGGTAAAATTATGGTACTGAATTAAGTGTTATAAAGTTTTAAGAGAGGAAATCTTTTTTTCCTTTTTTTTTCCAGTCTCAACCCCTCAAACCATGAACTTCTGCTGGCAGTATTATGGGATGGAGTGGTACATACGTCTGCTCAGGTTAGAAGTACCACAGGGAAGATATTTGAGGTAGTATATTGGTTACATAAAATTCACAATTTTATTGTTAAGTGTTATTATTTTGTAACACCCTATAAAAAGAAATATCATTTATTGTAGACATGCAGTTTCCTTGATAATATTTAACAGTAAAATCTGTGGAAAAGGGCAAATAAGTCAAGACCTTATCTTAGCAAACAGGTTTTTAATGTCCAGTGTTTTCTCCCAATGTGATATGTTGCAGGTGCTAGTGAAGGGAGTAAGTGAGAGCCTGATAGCCAGCAGAGTGGTGCCTGCCCTAGTCACATTGGCTAGTGACCCAGAAATGTAAGTTTACTATTACCTTGTCACTTTGACCTCTCCACTCTGGTCACATTGGCTATAGTGACCCAGAAATGTAAGTTTACTATTACCTTGTCACCTTGACCTCTCCACTCTGGTCACATTGGCTGTAGTGACCCAGAAATGTAAGCATACTGAACTTGTTACAGTACTCCCTCTCTTCTTGCTTTGAGCTGGACTATTTTGCAGGTGGGAAGTCATGACTGTCATTTATTTATTTATTTTGTAGCTCTTTTGTAATTTTTAGGACAATAAATAAATCTGCTTTGTAAGGTTGTTATAGATATTATTATGTATAATTAATTTTCATACATTTATTTCATCAAATATTAACAGTAAGGACATGTGCACCATAAGGTTCATTCCTAATTTATTTCTGAAAGCCACAAGATTGTAAAGCAATAACTGTCACTTAACAGGTCATTTTCTTTGGACGGACTTTACAATGGTCTGACTAGTTTACATATCCAGTGTTCAGTGCTATCATACCTACTCATCATGTATTTTATTTTGTATTATACTAGATCTGTGAGAATATCTACAGTGCCTGCCTTTGGGACGGTAGTGGAGAACGTCACCCAGAGAGAAGTGAGTAGAGATGACAACAAATAATTAGTGTCAAACACTAATTACATTTGAAAGTGAAGTGGGATGACAATCTGGTAAAGGCTAAATTTAGGGACAGTACTTTAAATATAAGGACTTAACCTGACAAGTTGCCAACAAAAAAGTAGTAAAAGCTATGGCAGAGCATGTTAAAAGATTAAAAAGACAAAAACTTATTTTTCATTAGCTAGGTAGCCTAACTTCCTAGTTATTTGAAAATCTGTATCTCAGACTGGTATTACGGTAACTTCAAAAGAAGTTTTCTTTAAAGATTTTTAAGAATAACATGTAGCCTTCAAATCTTCAGATTGCTCAGCAGATATAGCCACAAACACCAATTTGAAAGTCATATCACATAACTGTTCCATTTAACCTCCTAATATAAATTCTGTTTGTAAGTTGGCATTTTCTTTTTAGATATATGAAGACTAAAAAGTCTTTCAGTGTAGCTTGAGAGAATTTTTTCCTCTATTTGATATCCATCTTCTTTGACGGAAATTTTTCCTTGTTTTATCACCTTTTGCTGTTGTTTTCTTAACGCCTGAATCTGGTATATTGCCATATGAAGGAGTATCCTTACCATGAGAAGCAGTAGGATGTAATTGTGAAGCAGTTACATTGCTCTGTGAATCTGGCGTGCCAAAATGTGAATGAATTGTATTAGCATGTGAATCAGTTCTGTTGACATGTGAATCAGTCTTGTTGACATGTGAATCAGTCCTGTTGTTCTGTGAATCCACATGATACAGTGTTTCATTCTGCTGTGAGTCACTCCCCTTGATGTCCAGGTTGGAATGTTTATTCAGCACAGCCCACAGCAGATTAAAGTTGAGATCAGAAATGTTAGTGTCGTTGTAGGGAAGGTGGTCTTGGGGTTGGGATACCCAAAGCGGCATACCAAGTGTCCCTGTTGCTACCAGCAGAATTGATAGGAGAGTCAGTATTCCAAACACCTGCAAAGAATGAGGAAAGAAATGGTTCACCCAGGGCCTATTCCCAATGAAACTATAATTGTGCAACATAGATAGATCCAACTCCCTAGGATTCTAGCTAAATGCAATCAATTGAGTAGAATGCCAAAAACCTGGCGATTTTACAAGTACGTTGGAAATGAGGAGGCGTGTTTATCAGATTGCATTAAGCGAGAGTCCCCATAGAGTTGGATCAATCTACAATAGTTTTACTGGGAATGGGCCCTAAGACAGAATATTAAGACATTGATTATCAAGTTGTTATATCTTCCAATGTCAGTCATGATGAGGGAGTCACAATTCCAATATCATTTGATAGATAATGGCTAAAGGAAAATACATGAAAATAAGAGTTTTTGACATGTGCATTGCACAGTTTAGATTACTATGCACTATATGTTAAATATATCTGTCACATAAGAACTGTTTGGGAAAGAGAGTGTTAAAACTTTGGAGAAAACAGAGGGGCTATTGAGTGCTTCATAAAGTAATGCACTGTTTGTACTTGTTGTTTTATAGACAAACTTATAGGAACTTTGTAAGGGAAAACATAACAGGATTAAGTTGCACTGAACATATTCAATAAAACATATTTGAAACCTTGTTACAAATAATAAGTTCTTTAGAAAGTTGAGCGATAATTGAATATATTTGCAACCCTTTTACAACTGATAGGTATTAAAGGGGAAAATTAATCTGTAATTAAATATTCCTCAATACAGATATTAATCAGCTTGAGCCAGCTTTAAACAGTATCATTTGCAAATCAATACCCTTAACATGTGGTTACGAGATATTATTGGGAAATCTTGGCCTATTATTGATTAATGGTTTTTGTCAGGTGAAACAAGGGGCAGGTGAGCAATTAAACTTGGGCTTCAACGAATGCCTGCACATTAGGACTGGAACATCTTTTAGATATATGATGAACACTTTTTTAAATATCCTTTTAAAATGTCTGTTTATATTTTATTAATCTATTTTATGATATTATGTCTGACACCATTAAGACCCTATTTTATTGCATTTACATATTATATATGTTGTATTTATTGCAAAGAAAGAACAATGAACCTATATTCTGAGCAACACTTTAACAGAAGTTGCCAAACTGTAGGAAACCAACAGTTATCGCTTCATTGATAGAATAATACATTTAATTATGGTTATAAAACTCAAAATTATTTACAGTATGGTCATTATGATGACATGATTAAGCCCTTGCAAGTGACCTTCAAAACTTCTGAAATGTGCCTCAATGCATGTAGCTTTTCAAATTGAAAATGAAAGCAAGATAAAATCAAATATTAAATTATTTTAGAACTTGAGCTGAAATTCAAATTTGATTTGGTATTTGGACATTGATATCTTACATCTTTGGCCAGTGTTAGGTAAGAGGAAAAGGCAAGTCCCTCACACACCTCTGCAGGTTAATATCCCCTTATGTAACCAAATACACATTAGGGTAAGCTAGGTCATTGTCATTGTGGATGACCAGTGGTAATTACTAGATTTTTTTAATGGGAGAAAATTATGAAATTTACCAATACTGTATTTTTTAGGTCATAATTTCTTAAAATAAGAACATCCCTATTGAGTGGTAGCAGCAAAATTAAAAAGCAGACTATTCTTTAGTTCTATTATATGCAGTAAAAGCAGCACAAATGCCATATAGAAATATAACTTTGTTATTATAGAATTATGTGTCTGAAAGCTTAATATTTTTGCCCATTGACAGCATCAAATTAAAGTATTTGTATTTGTTGGACTGGCATGGCCACTTTCAGCTAAAAGAATGTAAGGTCCTGACCCTTTGTGGGTCAGAAAAAGATTATACCTTGAAATCGTATTAAACTGTATACATCCATTTGGCTCTGCCAAATGTAAAATCACCAGAGTGACTCTCTTTTGACAACACATGACAATCATGATGTATATTAGCATATTTTTTATAACTTCCTTTAATTTAGATGTGTAGTTAGTTTTATAATCAGTATCACTGATATAATAAGGAATGTTAATACCCTACCTTGGCACACCTGTCACACTGCTGTGTCTCCCCCTCTAGTTCCATAGGTGGTGGCACAGCAGATGGCGCATCACGCAACTGTGTCATTTCTGTGACTCTGTCCTCGTCATCCATGGTTAAATCTGGCTTCAGTGCTTGTTATATGATGACTTAGTTTTTCAGCTTGAAGACCAGTAGTTGTCTGCCTCTTGTATATAAAGCTCCGGCAGAATAGTTTCAAAATTTTTGCTCGATCCTCTTTGAACTTTTACAGAATGCTTATGAAGTTTTTTTTTCTTCAAAATGTCAAGGAACTCTCCTTGCTCCATAAAATGCCGACATACTGTGTTGAATTATGTAATAGTCTCGTCACTCTGTGTCTACTTGCTCATGGGGTGCGTCTTTCTGAAGTCAAATTGCCCTTGCTGTAGTCAAATTCACACAAAATCACAAGGAATTCAAAGGTTTTTTTCAGTGTTGCAGACTGCAAGTCCTGTGTGTGATATTTTTCCCTTGTAAATTATGGCAGGTGTAATACCTAGCTATCAGACCAGAGTGGCACCATGTATTGACTTTTATTGTTGTTTTTGCAAGGAGCTCAATACCAAGACCTGCTCACAGTCAAGTGGGCATAGTAAGAATATCAATAAATCTGTGAGATGTAAATGAGTATCAAATGAATAATTGATGGAAACATTGAACTTGTGCAATGTTGTGAAGATAAGAATTATAATGGTGTTTTTTCGTGATTCTTTTCTGGACTATACAGTCGAAGGTAGTTTTCCATTATCATTTTTAGCACAGAAATCGATTTTATGGCAAATGGTTAGAGTGTTGAAGTAATTTTCACACTCACGGTTCATTTTTTTTTCTTTGCAGTTAATGAACAAATGCAGAAAATTATTTGTGGTTTTCTTTAAGATTCCTCTTACATTATGTAACATGGTATAATTTGGTGGTTTTTGTAAACCTTATGTTATTTTTGTCATAGACATCACACCCTACCGTGTGTCTACATTGAAACCGTGGGTAAAATTAAAAAGGACTGAGAAATATTGATTTGTTCTAGAATCAATTATACCATCATTATCTTCCACGAGTGCCTACTTCCTGCCCTGTGTCAACACTGATTTAAATAGAAGCAGACAGGCATATTCACAAAAAAGGGGGGAGCTTTTTATTACTTAAAACAAGCTATGTAGTTTTCTAAGATAGTAATTGGTAATGGTTTTTGTCTTTTTGTGCGTGATAATGAAGTCAAATGCTCTGTTGTCTCTGCATTCTGTTCCACGCACCAATGACATGCTGTGACCATTGTGCTAGATGAGATTGATGGAAATGTGCTCCACTGTAAATAAATAGTCTCCTGTCTTAGGCATAAGTGTCACATTCCCTTATTTCTTACCTTAATATAAATCAACCAAATGTCATTGTACCAACTGTTTTGTAGTGATAGGGTATGTTGATGATAATTTTTCTGTGACTTATAGCTGTTTTATTGGAGAAAATCTAGTTATGTCTGAAGATTCTCTGGTGTGCATAGGCATAATGTATATATATATATATATATATATATATGACTTGAATTATATTCTGTTGTATATGTATATGTTCTCTAATCTCTTATTGGAATTACAAAAATTATTTTTGGAAGTCCAGTATTAGAGCAAAGGAATTTATTTTCTAAACTGGATGTCTTTTATCTCTA